AAAGCTGATGATCCAGCAGAGTGATCAATAGCATGATGCTTTGGGAAAAAGCCATTAAGCTTTTCTGCTGCCTGTATATTGTCAAAGCCTTTGTCTGTTTCATGACTTCAAGCTGAGTGTACTTAATCATTTTGAGAACAGGCCCTGAGCAACGAGCATGGCCCTTCCAGTGAATCACTGAGAACTGTGTTCAGCAGAGAGGTATTGAATAGAAATGTTCTCTGGGCTTGCTCTCAGCCTTCATTCTCCCAGAAGCCCGAATTGAGCAGACATCCCCTTCTTTCAAACACATTTTAGCCGTTTGTGTCTGTCATTTTTCTGTTTTTAAGAGCTGAGGTTGTTGTCAATAGGTGTGACTTCTTGATACCTTTGACTCCAAAGGGAAACATCTTTAAAGAGTAGTTGTTCAGTGTAAGCAGTGTGTAGTGTGTAAATTACCTGTTGTCAGAGAAAGAGAAGCAGTTAGTGGAAGCTGGAAACTACAAGTCAGATGTTGGAGGAAAACTCATTCATGAAACCTTTGTTGTGCCAGGTGTCAGACTAGGCTTATGAGAAGACACAATTGGAGCCCTCAAGAAGCTGCCAGTCTAGTGGGAAGACAGGTATTTTATCTGAGATACACCAGTTTTTCTCAACCTTGGTTGCACTTTGGAATAAGTTGAGTTAAATACCGATGCCTGAAGATTCTGATTTAATTGGTCTGGCGTGTAGACTGGGCATCAGGATTTTTAAAAGCTCCCCAGGTAATTGTAATTACATTAGGGTTGAATGTGGCGAGAGCCACATTGAATGTAGAGTGGGAAGCACAGGTGCACTGGGAACATAGAGAGGGTCACTTAATCCAGTCTAGGCTGTGAGTGTTGGGGGTTGCAGAAAATGTCCCAGAGAGGAGGACACAGCTGAGCTGAGGATTGATGAATGAGTTTGTCAAGTGAAAAAAATCTGGAAAGACCTTTCCTTAAAGAAGAGCAGCTGAATAATTTAGGCTAGTAAAGTGATTAGTGCCTTTGGAGTTAGTTCTGTGCTGATTCTGCTGCTTGCTCACTTTGTCTTTGGCCAGTTTATCCTCTGTGAGCTTCAGTGTCCTCATCTCTAAACTGGGTGGTAATAGTACCTATAGTATTATTGAACACTAACTGAGATATAATGCATGTGAAGTGCTTGGGATCACACCTGGCACCTAGGAAACAGTAAGTGGTGTTAGTAGTATGGTGATGGTATTATTATCATAGAATTAGAGCTTGCATAGTTTGTTTAGAGAGCTACAAGTAGTTCTGTATGGCTGGATCTTAGGGGGCAAGGCTGCAGGAGGTGAGGGCGGGAGGCAAAAAAAAATATTCTTGGCAGGTGGACAGTGTTCCAGATCACGGAGTGTGTAGGAGAATAAGGCAATTAATAATGGGATATCATGGCAGAACCAGGACATTTCCATGGTAATATGTTAAGATATATCATGAAGTGTTCTGGGAAAACTTGGGTCCGTATTGGAAAATTGGCTCTCAATGTGGTATTCTCAGCATCATTATGTGTACCAAATTAGCAGTGAGTGTTAATAGGACAGAAATAGGATTTTCAGTTCCTTTAGCCAAGTAGTTAAAAATATTGAGCATCTTGAAGAGTAATGAAGAAATAAGCAGTCCCAAGGTGGTCGCAGAGATACTCTGGAAATTTTTGTGGTCTTAATTGTTTACAGGCTTATTGAAAATATTAATTAAGGGTTGCTTGGTCATTTGCATGTAGAGGAGATACTTTTAAATTTATTTTTTGATTTGCAGAGAAGTAGAAAATGCTTCCATCTGCATTGGCTTCACTGGCCCTTAAAATAACTTATGTATATTTGTTGGTGTGTTATATAACTTGTCACAACATTAGTCACCACTTCTTCCATAAGGCAACATGTAAACGGTCATGGATAAGCATGACTATAACTTATAATTATAGACCAATTTGTTCTTAGCATTTTAGTCAGTTTTTTCTTTTCTTTCTATTTTTTTGAGAGACTGTCATAATCTTTGGCTCCATATAATAGAAGTCTGCCAGCAATCTGAACCGAGTAAGAATCTTAGGTGGCTTTATTATTCCTTATTAGAGTGAGGCAGTAACTATGGATGGCAATAGTAGAAAGAAAGTAAGCTTCATTATTTCTACAAGTGCCTTTTTTCTTTGAAATGTATTTTTTATTGCAAAAGCACTGTTGAAATGATGGATTATGGTGGTATACCGTATGTTTATATTGTATGCACTAAATTATTTGGAATAATTTCATTTAACTAGATCAGTATTTCTTAAAGTGTGGTCACCGATCCAGCAGCATCAGTATTACCTAGGTACTTGTTAGAAATGCTGATTCTTGGATCCAACCCCAGAAACTCTCCAGGTGATTACCATACATGCCACAGTTTGAGAATCATGGAACTGGTTGATCATTTATTGAAATCTTTTAGACCTCACGACGGCTAGTCTGTACTTCCTTTATTCCTTAGACATCTAGGTGGGGATGTTGATTGGACAACTGGATAAGGGAATCTGGAGTCAGGGAAGAAGTCAGGTTGGAGACTTTGGAGCATGCTAGCATATGCATGGTAATTAAAGGCAAGAGACTGAATGATATCACCTAAGTCATGAGTGTAGACAGGGAGAGTAGGAGAGTAGCTAACATGAAAAGGAACAAGCAAAGGAGTAGCCAGTAAGGTAGGGAGGAAGAGGACTTAATAGAGAATGATATTCTGGACAGCAAGGGAGAAAATGTTTTAAGGAGTAGGGTAAATAGATCAGCTGTGTCAAATGCTGAGTAAGATGAGCACTGAGAATTGAGCATTTTAGCAACGTGGAGGTCTTTGGTGACCTTGACGAGTTATTTCATTGGTATGGTGGATTCAGAAGCCTGGTTGAAGTGTGTTAAAGAGAGAAAGGGAGAAGAAACAGAGACAATGAATATAGATAACGTTAGGGCATTCTTCACTGAGAGAGAGAGAGCTCTGCAAAATACCCTGTGGCACAGGTTGATGTGTTGGTGCTACAGTGTTTTAAAATTTGTAACACCTTTGCATGCTCACGTTATCTCAATTTTTGAAATGCATAAAAATAAATTAAAAAATGGTAATTTTAGTTAAAAAAAAAGTGTGGAAGCTCTGAAGAACCTCCATGGCAATCCTAGGGTCCTGTAGAACACATTTTGAAAGCTGTTATCTTAATCCCAGAGGAGTGAAATTCTGAGGTGAATTTCAGCCAGTTGCAAAATAGGTTCAAGAAAGACATTTTTAGGTTTTAGAGGGAATCTTCCTGATGTTCTTCAGATTACACTATTATTCATGAAAGATGACTTTAGAACATTCCTTTCTTTCATCAAATGCTCTACCTTGAGATCTCTTGAATGAAAGGGGTGTTTTCATATGACATTTTCTACAAATGTTTGGTACCAAAGGATGCTAACTTTGTAAGTCATTTTGTACCCTCTTGCAGGTAAAAAAGAGCACAAATTTTTTTAAAGGCCTCTTTGAAACTTCAGTTTACTTTTTTTTTTAAGTTAGATACTCTGATTTCGTGTCTGTTTTTTAAAATAACTTATTTGACAAGGTATATTTAAATATCCTGAATTTTAGAGTAGCCAACTCTATGTAAAGCAAAAGCCCATGTTTTCGTTCACTAAAGAGATGATGATCCTTTACAAGAGAAATAAGTAGATCTCTGATTCACAAATCACACATTTTTTTTTCTCCTTCCTAAGGAAGTAGGGGGAGTATTACCATATTTTATTGAATCTAAGATGCCACTATTTATAAGATGAACCATTATTTTTTGTGTTACTAAGAAAAAAAAATTGCTGCCATTTAGAATTATAAAATGCTGTAGGTTGTAAGAGATAGGAAAATGTGGGGGGCGAAAAGTTCATCTTAGAATCAATGAAACACAGAATTTGAGAGCCAGGAGGTGTGAGTTCTGGTCCTGCTGTGTTTCTGACTGGCTGTAGGATCACAGACAAGTCACTTAGACTCTCAGTGCCTCAGGTTACTTACCTGTGTTGTTAGAGTACTGCCTGGCACACTCACCCTGCAGGATTATGATGAGGATGAAGTGAGACAAGTGAGAATAATTATTTTGAGAAGTAAATTCTAGGCAGACTTAAAGTTATTTATTTGTTGTAAATTAACCCTTAGATATGATTAGGCAGCTCAGAAAGTTTCTAATTTGATCTTTGTTGTCAGGTTTAAAATAGAATTAAATTATAGATATTTGAAAATATAACATTCTCTTCTGCTAAATAACTTTTATTCAATCTGGAAACAATCTTTTTATTGTAGTTTTTAAATTAAAGAGAAAATGCAAAGATAATATAAGCATGATATTCTTATTGAGAATTAACAACTACTAACATTCTGTTAGTGCTGGAAGTGTTTGTGACATAAGGCAAAAGGATATAATAATGAACATTCATACAGTTGCCATTGTCAAGACTGGTGAAGTCCCCTTTGTGGGAATAGTGTCTTACATTTAGATTAGCATCCTGTCTTCACAGTAGTCTAGTGAAATAGGGCTATTTAACTGTTTCTCTTGTTTCAGTCTTTAAAACTTGTAATTAAATAAGTTAATTTTGTCATATGAGTGTTTTATCCTGGAATATGGGGGAGAGGGCTTCAAGGAGTTGCCTCAATCTGAGTTTCCCCAAAATTCTGCCTCTGGCTTTTTAGATCCAGCTGTGGAAATCAGAAATATGACATTCTGTGAAATCACAGTAATAGCTAGCCTACTGTGTGCCAGACATTGTGCCTAGGCAACTTCTGTGTGTTTTCTTTAAGTTTTACAGTAATTCTTTTGGCTAGGTGTTTTCATTTTGTAGATTAGGAAGGTGTGGCTAAGAGAAGTTGAGTAACTTGTCCAAAGTTACAGGGTGATTAAGTTGTGAAGCTAATGATTTTAATGACCATCTGCCTTGTACTGCAGCCCACGTGTTCCGTGCTGCCTCGTTCCTTGTCAGTAATCATGATCTGTTTCTTTTGTAGGCAAAATCCAGAGACCACGTTTGAAGTATATGTTGAAGTGGCCTATCCTAGGACAGGTGGCACTCTTTCAGGTACTTTGCATGTTTGATTATGATATGGCGTGTTTGTTTATTGTGTTAGATAGCCATGCACATGGGATAACATATGAATAATATGAGGAAACTGTTACTTATCTTTAAGCATGTGTAAGTGCCTTTTCCTTTTCATTTGTGCCCACATCATCCTGGGAGGAATGGAGGATAAAATAGTTTGAATTAAGAGTTCAAGCATAACAGGCTTGAAGTATGGCTTTGTTTATTGTATTTGTTGGGTCTTGGTTTACATCTTTCACAGATGCCTGGAAGTCAACTATTTAGTGTGAAATATTGTCACCTTGCTAATGAGGAAGGCTTAGAGTTAGGTTATAGTATATAAAATAATATAAAGGGAATTCTCTGCCACTAAACTGGAAGGAGATGTTTGAAATGGACTTAATTTAGTAAATTTTATGTCTGCTGGTAAAAGGAGGTTGGAAATTGGTTGAATAAAACACCTCCTCTGGCTTAACTTTTGGACTAATTTGGATATGTATTCCTGGACAAGAGAGTCTTCGATAAGGTTAGGATATCTTGTACAGGCAGCGTATATCACTTCCTGACCTAAAATCTTTCTTGGTTAATGAGAAAAATAACCTTATGATCTGGTGTTCTTTTTCTTGGTGCCTTAAGAGAGTAATGCATTTTGTTTAAGGATATGCTAAGGACTCCTGGTCCACACACACAAACACCTGCATATATTATTTGGTGTTTAGGGAGAGTAAATATACTTGGATTAGAAAACTTGGAGTAATCAGGGTTCCAATGGTAGTTACACTATTAATTGGCTTTACAACCTTGGGCATAGTCTCTCTGTTTCGTTATTTTAATTAGATTGTAATAATTGTGAACATAGCTGCCTTTTATTGAGTACCTGTTGTTCTGCTATCCTACATGCTGACACCTGTGGCGACAATCCTTACATTACAACCTTTAAAGGTAGTAGTCACATTCCCATTATACCTATGAGAAAATAGAGTCTTAGGTGAAATAACATACCAAGAGAATATAGATAGCTACATGTGGGATAGCCAGGATTCTTGTTTCAAGTCCTCTTCCCTTTGATAAGTTGCCTTCTTGAGGGCAGTGACCACACTGTACACATCTCTCCATGTCACCAGAACTTTGCACAATGTCACCAATAGTTGTTACCTGAATGGATTTCCCTTAATAGCAAATGTGGGTAACTGTGTTCCAACTTCTGGATTATCTAATGAGGGCTGTGAAACATACAATTTATAGTTGTCTTAGAAGTAGAAAGTTAACATCCAAGTTAATTTATACTTTTTATTGTGCATGGAGACCATTGGGTTTTGAAGGGCATTTTGCCGCATTTGCTTTATTACCACCCCACCCCACACACAACATTTTTGCTGAATCATTAAAGAATAAGTTGCAGACATTATGACCCTTGTTCATCCCTAAAAACTTCTGGGTATATATCTTAAGGATAAGGACGTTTCTTATCTATTTCTAGTATAGTTATCAAAATCAGAAAATTTAACATTAATATAATGTTGATTGTCTGCATTTAAATTTGGTCACTGTTGTTTCAATGGTGTCCTTTATAGCAGTTTCCCCTGAATCCAGGCCAGGATCATGCAATCCATGTAGTTTCTGTATCTATTTAGTTTCTTTCAGTCTGAAATAATTTTATAGCCTTTATTTGCCTATTTTGACATGTTTTTGAAGAATTTGGGTTTGTTGTTTTGTGGAAATTTCATGGATCTTTATCTGTCTGATTGTATCTTCATGATTAGATTCAGGTTATGGATTTTTGGCCAAAGTACCTCAAAAGTGATACGTGTCTTCCTTAGTGTGTAATATCAGTAGGCATGTGATATCTGTCTGATTGTTTGTGAAAAAATTGCATAAAACTTATATGTGCAGTTTAATACACAATTATAAAGTGTGTAGCCATGTTTACCACTATCCAGGTTAAGAAATACAATGTTGCTTGGTTCTAGGAAATACTGGTCCTGGTAAGAGGGACCGCCGCCCTGGCTCCGTGCATTAGAGGCCTCTGCTATGTCCGTTGTCTGACAGTGCCCAGTCCCATACAGCAAGGAGTCTCTGGGGCGTACCAGACATGTCTACTTGGAACCTAACCCTTCTATCCTAGACCATGCTTTGCGTACCCAGGATCTCAGAATTGCTTACCCAAATGGCTCTGAGTTTATTTCCAGAGCCTGTGTGGGTCTCTTCTCTGGGGTCCATCCTCTTGAAGGTAGACTGTGTGGCTGGTAAATACACCCCTAGGCCTAAGGGTTCCCTAAGTGTAGCTGTTGGTGGGGAATAGGGTATGGGGTAGAGGTTGTGAGTGAGGTAAATTGCATGCCTGTGTGTGAGGTCCCTTGCAGTGAGGGATGGGGAGGGGTCAGTGGGCAGTGAGCCAGTGGCCAGTTTTCCCTGTACCACCACTTTTCTGCATGAGTTCTAAGGAATCCAAAAATTCTCAGTATGAATCTGGCCTTCTGGGTAGTTATGAAGGTATATTCTTCATGACAGGAGGATAGAACATATTTAATAGTTTGTAAGCTTGTTTTATAACTTGCAAATACTTAAAATATTTAGACATAACTGTGTGGGTTTCTATTTGTACCCTTGCCTGGGCCCTGTCAATGTTAGAGGTGGGTTTGACCAGCACTCGAGAGGCCCCTCCCTCCCTTTCTTCACAGGTAACTACTATCCTGACTTCTATGATAATCATTTCTTGGTTTTTCTTCATAGTTTTGCTACATAAGTAAACTTCCTTGAAAAACATAATTTCATTGTGCCTGTTTCTATTTATAGAAACAAAATTATTCTGTGTGTAGTTTTGCTGCTTTTTTGTTCGATTATGTTTGCATAAGTCTTCCAAGTTGTATGGAACTACATTCATTTTTTTATCACTGTGTAATATACTATAGAATTACATCAGAATTTAGTTATCCATTCAACTGTTGACAGCATTTGAAATTGTTTGCAGTTTTTGGCTATGACCAGCAATGCTGCTGTGATCTTTCTTATACATGAATCCTGGTGCATGTAAACATACATTTCCATAGGATATATAACATACTTGAATATTGGGTCATGTCAAACCTTCAAAATTGATTGTGCTAGTTCACACCCCCACCTGCAGTATGTGGTAGTCCTTATTGATCTACAACTTCATGAACCCTTAGTACACAGTTAAATTTGATTTTTGCCAACCTGATGGTTTTGCATTTTTTTGATGACTAATGAGCTTGAGCACCTTTTCATAGGCCTCTTGAATATCTCCTTTTGTAAAGTGCCTATTTAAGTGTCTTGCTCATTTTTTAAATTTAATTTTCTACCTTTTCCTCATGGTTTATGAGAAATTATTTATATATTATGGTTATTAACCAGTTGGTTATATGTCTTGCGAATATCTTCCATTCTGTGGTTTGTCTTTCACTCAATGGTATCTTTGATGAAAACTTCTTTGTTTGAATATATTAACAATATAATTTATCAGTATTTTCCTATCCTGCAGATACAAAGTTATTTTTCAGTATTTTCTTCTAAGAGAGATATAGTTTTGCCTTTCATATGTAGGTCTTTAATCTACCAAGGATTTTAGTTTTCTGTTAGATGATTAATATCCAGAAAAGTTAAACTTTAAATTTGATTCTTCTTCATGATTTTCAAAAAGCGGGAAACTAAATAAAGCTGACTTCCTAAGATATGCTATGCCTCTACTTAAAACATTTTATAAAGTAATCAGGTACTTCATATCATACCTAAAAAATTACCTGATGGTATTAATAACAAGGTGACAGATGTGAGATAGGCCAGTAAGAAATATTACTAAACTTTAAGGACAGTTCTTTTTTCCATTGATTACTTTTCATGTCTGTGCTAATGAAGACATGTGTTGAAAACTACCCCTCATGTATTCTGTGCTCTGAAGAGTATCTCATGACATCTGTGGAAGGGACATGTGATCTGTCAGTTCTACTTAGAAATTGTATTAAGACCCCTAACGCTGAATGGAACACTTTGCAAAGATTGTACAAATAAAATTTGGGTGCACAAACCGAACTCATGGTACTTACTTTGAGAATTCATAAGAATTTCTAGTTAACGTGTTACCAGTGAATACACTGTCACTTAATATTTGATTTTAGGTATCTTTTGTCTGCTTCTACAGCCGCCTTGTTTGTTTTTAATAAAACTTGTAATGCTTGCCTTTTTCTGATATTTAATGTATTATTTTTGCCATTTTAAATGATTGCAAAGAATCTACTTTAGTCTTTGTTCCTTGGATCTGTATCTCTGATCTATGCCAAAGTATCTGAACAAACTTAGATATAAACCTTACGCTGTACAGTACTAGTGTCTGGGCATAATCTTCTCTTTGAAGTTTGTTTGCGTCCCCCTAGAGGGATTAATTCCCCACTGTGAGAAGGTGGGTTAGAAAGCACTGAAACTACTTTATGGATCTTTAATTGGAGGATTTAGTATACATTTTGTTCTATAAACTTCTGTGGGAGTTTCATTCTTACAATTTTTCCTATACTGTGGTATGTTCTCGTAAATAAAAATATGTATTAAAATTTTTCTCAAGTTATTTAATACATATTGACAGATTATCCTGGTGTTTTTTCCATTCATCTTTAAATTTTTAGTAGCTTGTTTTCTGATTAGTTCTTGAGTATGTATAAAACTTAACATTTTTTGAAAAATTATAAAGAAGAGAAAAATCATCATTCAATAACTACTGTTGATGTTTTGGTATGTTTATTTCCTTGTCTTTGTGTGTGTGTGTGTGTGTGTGTGTGTGTGTGTGTGTGAGAGAGAGAGTGTGTATGAATAAATAAAATACATAAACTTTTTTCTTGCTCTCCTCAGTTAATCGTTAAGCTTTTTCTAAAATTACTAATATAGCTTTATAAAAATCATTTTAGTTGCTGTGAATTATTACCTCATGTTTATGTACTATATTTACTTATAATTAAGTCTTTAGATTGTTTCCAAGGTTCTCTTGTTGT